TGCATAAGCTTAGTTCTTGCATTTACCAAAAGGTTCACGTAGCACCTTATCATCCCAACTACAAATAATTGCATCCAGGGAAAATTTAAGTGGCTCTCATTTTGAAAGTCCTCTGGCACTGCCAAGCATTATTACTTCCTATCTTTTTTCATAGTGTATCAAACTCTCATGTTATGTCCTATAAAGTATCCAAGGGGGGGGGGGGCAAAAGTTTGTGCTCTACTTTGCCTAATGATACCTTGTTTTGTAATTACCAAAAGCATCACAGTCCTTAGACAGCTGCTGACATACAGAAAATAAGGTTCTTGAAACTGTTTGTTTCATCATATTTTAAGAATTAATACCTTAGGTCATGTTAATCAGTTTCTGATATATGTAGTTTTCAAAATGCACTTCAGGGAAGAAAATGTTGGAAATGACTAATAACAACAAAGATCTGAACTTTATTCTTTATATATCTAACTCCGAATGGGAACATTACCAAAGTACTTTGCCATCTTAAGTATTTAGGGAGCTTTAAATAAAAAATAAATCCACCTCCTTCAATGAAATAGAACATCCTCTTTTTCCAAGCAAAAGAGTTCAAATTTATTAATTTTGTAGCCATATTTTAAAATGAGTGTCAGCCCCTGCTAGATGACTGCATGATAAGTGTCCTGAAACTTCAGGAAAAGGCACTAAATTTTTCACAGCATTTGTGTTTCATTTTCAGTGTAATAAAAATATGGTGCCCTTTTAATAATGAATAATAGATCTCCTGGTATGATTTACATGCGTGGATTAAATGTCATGTTTGAAAAGTTGCTGTTTTATTCATATTGAATTTCCCTCAAGTAAAACAAAATGGTACCCATCTACTGTTATAATATTGCTAGTACCTTGCCACACTGATACATAAATATTAACCAGTTGATATACTCTTTAAAAATCTGCAGATCTGTGAACTGTTCTGTCAGCAATGGTGGCTTTACATGCATATGAACCAATTTAATGCTATCCCAAGTTCCAAGTACATTGTGGGAAATGAGTAGCAACAGTGCTCACATTTCTTTTGCTGAAGTGTTGGTTTTGGAAGGCTAGCACAGAATAAGGACCAATACCGAATGGGTGCAGCAGGACCTGGGTTAAAAAGCAGCTTGGGGAGCCCAACACTGACATGATTATCCCTGCTTCTCCCCAGCAGTTCTAGATTGACATCCCAGGTGACTGAACAGTTTAATGAACGTTTTTTAAATGCCACTTGCAGGCAACTTCATAGGCTTATAGTGCTCTTCACAATAGCTGAACCTTTCCTATCTGAACTTCCCCTTCTGAACAAAAACTTGCTTCCTAATAAGGCAATCTTTTTTTTTTTTCTGGAAAAGGACTCCAGAAATGTTTATTATTTATTGCAAATACTTGAAATAGGAACATCTTTCTCAAAGGTTCCTTCTCTTAATAGCTGAAGCTTGCAATGTACAACAAAATATTTTTGTCCCAATAATTTAAATTATAGCTGAAAACACTTGGGGTTTTGTTGTTAAAGAAAAGAATCATTTTATCCACACTTCAGTTTATTTCATTGAAGCCAATGAATATTTTGACTCTGAAACGTGAGGATTTGTTCTTATTGTTGTAATTGTTTCATATAACTATCATAATGTTTACTGAACTAACTTAAGAAATGCTGACTAAAAAAACCCTCCACTTTTTCTTTTTCTGAGCAAGACCAAGGTTTTGCATACCACAACTCATTTATGCTCTCCAAGGCATCATTAAACTGAAAAATGTAATCTGGACTTACTAGCACTGGAACACGAATCCTATGGAGAAGACAGACACTGCTTTATATAAACTGTGAAGAAAAAATGCTTACTGACTATTTCAGTCTTATCTAGGATCTTAGCCACCATGAGACAGCAATAAGGAAATTACACTAGTAAAATCCTTGGTCTAGTGTAAAGATGATGCAGTCACATCTGTACAGGTGCTGCCAAGGACAATCTAATTGCATAACTGCATTACTAGATGCACAGTAAACGTCTCATCTCCTTTCCTAGCCTCTCCTTACTCAACTTTCATTGCAGACCTGAGAAAAATCAGGCAGTGCAAGAGTATATTGGAAGTTTAAGAACAAAGCTTCATTGCTGCCAGAGTTAACCTGCTGCATTTTTGGAATCTCAGCTTTAGTTCATGTTCAGTTTGTATTAAAATGTAGGTGAAGCTTCAAAATAGCTCTTGCTTCACCCAAACCAGACAGCATTAAACCATATAATAAGTCTAAAGTCCCCTTGTATAAACTAAATATGTGAAAACATCTTTGGAACGCTGGGCCTAAAAAAAGTCCCCTTCAGATCATGCTGGTAGTTGCTACTCCTAAAATTGAAGAGAGTCATTTGAAACAGCAAGTGCATTTTATCGTAATCCAAAGTATTCATACATGCTTTGTCCAGCATAATTTAAGGAAAATAATTACTTGTGTGACCATCTGGCCTTACTGAAAGCCAAATAAAATTCAACTGGTGCTATTAGGAACCACTGTCTAATATGTAGTCAGAGGTTATTGGGGGAGGTAGGTTGACAAACTAAAAAGGAGGACAGTAAAGGAGGGGAAAGAAGGGAAGCTGGCAAGCTGGAGCAAAGAACATTGATTAATGAACAAAAAACATTTCTGAAAGGTCGGGTGCGCAAGTCAGACTAGCCCTGAGGCAGATCTAACTTACATGACCAGCACTTTCTGTACGCAGCAGGTAACCCATGCTGACACCAACTTTGCCGACATGACAGAGTTATTATTTTTGGAAGGATGTAGTGTTCTGGAACAATTTCTCTAATATATTAGTTAAAACTAAGCTTTCCTTCAATATCAAGCATGCATGTCTTCCTTTTCACCATGTTTACACTGAACTCCTATCGTTATTCCAGCCAATGAAAACAAAATCCTATTCTTCATTTGTGATTACTTGTATTTCCACACCCCCACACCCCTCCCTGTAATATATCCCAGGACAGCAGTGCTGTATATAAAGCTGTATCCAAAGCCAAATGCTCATCTGGAGCTCACCACTAAGACCTCTCTACTTATGCTAAGTTTTGCTGTAGATGCTAACCATCTGAAGCCTAAAATTTGCCTCATCTCACCACAGATCCTAAAGGTTTACTTTGAAAAATACCAAGGTGGAAAAACAGAAAGGTAGAATCATTCAGCATACAACACCTACAGAATGAGCTGGTGGAGGAGATTTCTTAAAATTATTACATTAAGCTTTTGTTGTCCATCATACAGTAGTGAATACAGGGAATAATTAGAAGGTCATTTAATCTAACTTCTCCTCCTGGTCCTGCATTTTAAATGGACTTGCCCAAGACCTGCACGTTTGTTCACTAGACTAAAAATGAAATTTGGTGAAGACGCTTATTATATTAAATATCCTCTGTGAGACTCAAAGAGGACTTTAAAGCACACTCTGGAAAAGTAGTAAAACTACCAATCATTTGTCTCAGAACTTTGGATGAAGCATTATAGCCACCTCTAAGCAGTTACTGAGGTGTCTGCACAACCCAGTAGAACTAACAGAAAGACAAATACATGGACTTTGCTCATACTCCTCACAAATCCATGTCAGGAGTTCTTTTGCACTGAGGAGCAGGTGGACAAAAGATGGATCAATCTGAACTAGATCTTGCTTAGTATTGTGAGCAGAGATATGTCGTTTTGAACAGAGGGCATCCCCCAGGTAGGAGCAAAAGAAGCAGCCAAGACCCAGGAGAAACACAATACTGAAAGCAAGAGGCAGGGCATGACAGTCATTCAGTTGTACTGCCCATAGTCTCATTTCAATGAGGCCTGAGCAGGCAATACTTTGTCTCTGAGGCAGTAAGCAGGTTGCATGCACCTTGCCTAGGGAGGAATTCCAGCTCAGTGGTTTCTCTGACAAACATGCATTTATTTTAACATCATGTGAGAGTCACATTCACAATTTCCCTATGTACATGATTTTTTTTCATGCCAACACCTGCATTTACAGACACTGTTCACTATTCACTACAGATGATAAACAATTAAAAAGCAGAAAATGTGACTCAAAAGCACTTTATATATCACAAATCCAATAGCTGAAATGACCTATTCAAAGTAACTGAAAGCATCAGTGCCATACATAAAAGTTGCTTTATCTGAAAGCTCGTTGGGACAGGGACTATCTGTCTGTTCTGTATCTACACAACACTTCACACAACGGAAGAGGTGGAGGAAGAAATTTACCATTCAGGTCATACTGCAAAATAAATAATTGAAAACAGAAAAGACTGTCCTCCTCATTCTACCAATGCCTAATAACACCAAAAAAAAAAAACAAAAAAACAAAAAAAAAACCCCAACCACAGTTGGAGAGATGGGGGTTGTTTTTCAAACTGTAAAGACGCTTTCATGTGCCAGAGAGTTTATCTGAGACCAATGTTTCAACCAGCACTAGCTAGGCATTAGCTACAACAGTGAACAACTGACACACAACAATCCTGCCATGCACAGCATGCTTAGGCAGGAAAATATGTGTGCCTCAGTCACAAAAGACAGAATAGAGCCTCAAGTGTTTGGGTTCCTTCCAAAATAATCCAAATGCTGCTTTTTTGGCAAATGGGGGTCAATGGAGCTAAAAACTCACAGAAGGATTTGGGCATTCGTGTGTTTATATACACCCACTCATTCATTTATTATTCTAAAGCTACTTTACAGAAATCAAATTACATAGCTGACAAGCTGCATAGATAAGAGAGAGTAAAAGTAAAATTTAAAATTAGCTGACAACACTATATGATGTAGTGTATATTTGGCACTTTTAGAGTGAGTGATGAGGGTTAACCTAGGGGGAAAAAAATTGCACCTTCCTAAATTGCACCTTAAATTATTAAATAAATTATGAACATGATGGAATGCATTAAATATATAAGCCTGAAGGAGAAAGAGCGGATGTGTTTTAACTTTCAAAGCAAAGACAGCATATTGAAGAAGTGTTGCTTACTGTCTGGATACTTTGTCCGAAGTAGATTTCAGTGTTGTAGAAGTTTCCATCATGACTAACAGGAACCGTTGTCCTGGCCTGAGGCTGCTCCTTCGTCTTGTGCCACTCCAGCAAGCCACCACCTAAGCGGCTGAGAACAGAAACCTTGAGGGTGTAATGGCCTTTAGGGACCTTATCTTTGACTCCCCTCAGGCATTTGATGTGAATTTCTATTGGCTGTGGTGTCCTGGAGCAGTCAACCTACGGAGAAGGCTCCAAGTTACTGACCTGGGTTGAGATGACTTTAACCATGCAATTCGCGAGAACAAATTTCTTCAAGAAAATAACTACGGAAAAGCAGACAACATGCTTCTTGTTCAACCTGTAATTACCTATTGCTAACTGAGAATCTGCAATTAGGGAGGTCAAAAGTCACAGAGATGACAGATAAAAAAATAATACAAATACAACTAATAAAATGTTTGGCATCCTTGGGGGGAAGGTGGAGCTGTTGAAGTATGACACCAGAAGCCATTAGTCTGCAGTAACAATGCAGAATTAACTGGAAAACAACACCATTGAAAATAAAGCATGCTTTGCAAGACAGGCACAATACGTGATGTGATGAGCAGGCTGCAGGCACAGAGTGAAAGACAGGGCAGGCCATGTTTTTACACTAATTATTAGCCTTGCCATAGCTATTAGTGCTGTGTAATATGCAGACTATCCTTTCACCTTCTGATTATCATATAATCAGATTCTCTTAAAAAATAGTAATCAAAGTGCAACACGTGTAGAGTTTAATAACAACTCCCTACAGGCACCTTTATTCCAAGTCCAGACAAAAGGAAACATCTGCTGCTTGCTGTTGACAAGATGTTGTCTGAGTTACAGAATGTTTAGTATGGAATAAATGCTGTTCTGTGTATCAGAAATGCCTTTCTGGTGCTTTCCTTGTATGCTTATTTTACAGTGTGAAGGTTAGCAGAGGAGAACAGACACAGCAGTATGATCCGTAAGAGTCTTGCCTGAGTAAAGGTGTAGGATATGTCCCGCTACACCAGCAGATACTTCAGTGATGCCCTGATGCAATGTGCAGGGTCAGGCACATAACAAGGTATCCCAGTTTGGTTCCAGTTTTGGCTTCAATGAATAAAATTGCTTCTGAAATAACTAATCATTTAGTGCTTTGATTCAGCAGTGATTTTTTTTTTTTCCCCAAGGAATCAATTTCTTACATTATTTTGAGAAAACACTAGTGCTAGGTCATCTTTTAATGCAGTGTGATACAAGAACCCATGCACTCTTCAGAATCAAATGGCTACCTTGACTACTAGGTTTAGGAGTCTCACAGTTTAAGCCTACAGTAGCTAATAATCTCTTCTTTAATCCTGTCTTGGATTTATTTTGGAAGAGATAGCATATTTCCATATAGATAGAAAGCTTCTGGAATTAAATTATGCAGTTAAATAAACAGTTGAATTTGTTAAACTTCTTTTGTTTCTCAACACAGACCATACTTAACAACTAATCTGAATGACAATTATTTTCAGCTTAATTAGAAAATCTTAATTAACAATGAAGATTTAACCTTAATATTTTTGGTTTCTGAATCATATATAAAAAAATTAACATTATGTGAATAAATAAGACAATCTTTTTAAACCTCAAGGCAGGATTACTGATGCAGGCAGACTTCGTTATTAAACACATTCTAAATTAAACGCCTCTATGAATTTTATACTGAAATATATTGTGATAGTTTTGCATGCCAAATGTGACATTTTGTATTTTAGATTCATCTTCTGTAGTAATTTTGGAAATGTCATACAAACAAAGATTTTGTCATTTACCAATGGAATTACTATGCATGGCCGGTTAGCCATCTCTTTTCTGGCTCTTCTGGTTGTTTCAAGTCAGCAAGCCATAAAAAATCTTTATCTCTCTGAAACACAGCAATTTGGAAGATAATCGAATAGTGACTGGGGGGCAGAAACGCCAGTCTGAGGAATTATACCACAATCTCTCTTGCATTTACAACCTTCCTCAAAGCGAGTGTCAGTCGAGTAGGAAAAGGAGATAGAAGATTCATCATATTTCAAGCTTGTCTCATTTGCATGGTGGCATAGCTGTCTCATCTCCTGCTGAAAGACTTTGCTTGGCCAGCGCTGACAAACTGTTTTGAAGAACTCTTGCCATGCCCAAATGATTCATCATTAATAGCTTTAGACATTCTCTTTAAGCATATGGTTACTTCTGCTGGAAAGTATATTTTGAAACCTGCTAAATTCTATCCTCTTAAACTAAGAAAAGACAAAAAAAAAAAAAAAAAAAAAAAAAAAAAAAAAAAA